TATACATAATTAGGGATTCGAAAAAGAAAACATCATTCATCCCATGGGACGCTGCCCTATCCTGTGTAAAATTAGATAGTTCCACTGGGGCAAAACTATATTAACTCCATCTGAATGCTATGCCTCACTAAACGGCGCAGACTGGTAGCCTTTTTAAGGAAAAGTTTGCAATACAGACGTGAAGTACTGATGGATTGTGGCGAGTGATTTCGACGTGTAATTTTTAACATCTTACTTCTATTATATTATGTATATCTATTATTAGTATTAATATACTTTTTTCTTTTTTTATTATTATTTTTATATATATTATTTATTTAATTCTCATATCCTGAATTTTAAATTTCTTCATCATTAAAGCATTATATTAGTTATTATAATCACGTATATTTTTGCATTATGTCAATCGCATACGGCCTTGTTCCACTATAAATAAATTGAAGGTCCAAATTATAGCTTCGTTTTTCAAAAAATAATATGTATATCTAATTATTAATCACATTGTTGTTTTTATTTCAAAATTGTATTGCAGATCTTGTAGTATTCTCATTTCAAAGCGCTTCCCAATAGTGACTTTTCAGATATTCATTTCATATGATAAGAGAGTTAATAATTCTATAATTTATTTCTTAATCTTTTAGATACGTTTAAAAGCTGAACTAATTCGCATTATAAACAATATATTTAATTTTAATTGACCATACAGCTGTTTTGAGTATTGCCAAATACCCATCATCAGTGGTCTTGAGTATAATTCTTGTATTTAATTATTCGTAAATAATTTTTTTTGAGACTGCAAGTACCAGGAAACGAACGAATTCAAAATAATACTTGCCTTTATTAACTCTTCAAGTTCTTCTTCGAAAGAATAAATAAATTAAACTTTATATGTTTTAAATTATATTTATATTTTTTTTTATTGAACCATTAAAATAATATATGCAATAAATATATGTATATATATTTTTTTTAATATACATATGGTATATGTATAATTTTTACAAGTTTTAATTATGATAATAATTTAATTTATATATATTTATATTGTATAATAATTTCTGTTAATGTTAGGTTATGATTATAATCATTTAAACAATGACAATGTGTATGTTATAATTTATACATAATTTAAAATTTAATTTTGCGTATATGCAATTTTTAATTCTTTCTTTAAATTGAACTATTAATTTGTGTATATACTATAGATTTATATATAATATATATATAATTGTTTACAACTAAAATTACACGTTGTCGTTATTTTATTCTTATCATCAATATGGCTTAAATTTAATATTAAATTATTTAATTAATTTTTATTCTGTTTAATATAACTAATTTATGTTACATAATACTAAAAACAATATCTGCTTAGAAAAATATACATAAAACAAAAAATACATATCTTTTAGATTATTTATTTTTATTATTTTCTATTAAATTTGCTAAGTTTCTTCAAACATTTACTATAAGGGCTTCTTTCTTCATTATTTATTCTGTTATTTTTATAATAATATAGTTTATATTTCTTATATAAGAACACTCGCATACAGCTGGTTAAAAATGACACAAGTTACGTTTTATATAAATTTATTATTATTTATTTTATTTGATTAATATAATATAGTTCACCTACCGTACTGTAAAGTAAAAATATGAATTAATTGGATAAATATTGCAGCTTAAAAGTTAAATTGTGAAAATTACTAAATAATAGCAAATAAAATTTAATAAAATAGAAAGTAAATATAATATATAAAACATAATATAATAATATAATATTTAAAACTGCTTCTGATTTTAACAGTAATTCAACATACATTTGTTAAAAATTGACGAATTAGAATAACAAACTTTATAGTTAAATGATCTTTTCGAAAGCTATAAGTGGATATAAATTAAAGAAACGACTTTGCTATGTTGTGTAAAGATTTATAACATATTTTTTTCTTAGTACATAGTTTCATTAGAGTACGTATCAAACTAGCAACTAATTTTTTTACTTATATGGAACTGATTAAATTTTTGAATGTTAGAGTATATATATATATAGATTATATAATTAAAAAGAAGTTCATTATTGTAATGCTTCGTTTTCACTGTGTTATTTTGAATGTCAAATATTGTCAGTATAATGAAAACGGGTAGTCATATGATGTTATATTCGCATTTCTGTCATGAAATGAAAACGCATTTGACAGTCAATTATAATTGTCATTTAAAATAATATAATGAAAACGAGGTATAAGTAATGAATTCAACTAAAACGACACTTTAAGATTTGTTTCTTTTTGATGAATAAATTATATTAAAATTTTTAACATAATTTTTAATCGTTCGTTATATTACAAATTTAGTAATTTTAAAACATTTCTTAATAACCTATGCTTAGGTTTTTTTTTGTGAATACAGAAATTAATACATGATTCTCTTTTTCTCCATATACCTGTCTGGTTGTGAGTTTACATATTACATCCACTGCTTTATGGCACGTTTGTATTTATTTCTTATCGCTTAATTATCAATAATCGATTACTACAAAGCTTCCGATATTATTTACGGTCTCATCGTTTTCCTTTGCAGTAATAATAATTTAAGTACTTATGTGAAATATTAACCCAATTTTTCTTTTCTCAAATAATTAATTCTCCTCGAATAACTATCAAAATCCAGATCACTTGTGAAAATACATAAAATATAAAACATAAATAAAATTGCAGTTAAATGACATTCATAACATAAAAACTTTTTACATAAAACAATATCTACAATAACATAAATAATGAGCAGCAGCAACACTTTGAAAAAAAAAAATCAATTTAAATTATTGTTTAAATTTATTTTTTCAATGATAAAATAAAATTATCTTTATCATTTTTATAGAAATTCAATTCATATATTAACGATGAGTGGTACAATATGCTGTGAGCTTAAAACTGTACAAGCGGTAAAGAATATATGCAATGATCTCGAAACTGTGCAAAAAATGTGAGTAAAAATTAAATTAATTATAACATTTATAAAGACAATAAAAAAAAAAATAAAATAAATTTTTTTGGTTGAATTTAATAGTTCATCCTTTAACAGTTTACGGCAAGTATTATTAATTTTATGTACAGTATTTAAAAAATTGTTAACATACCACTTATTTTCTTACTTTATGCTTTTTAAATATATTCACAATATTTTTATGTTTATTTCTACTATATTAATATCAGCTATATTTGTGTTTACAAATAAATTTGTCTACAACTGCAATTACCTTTATACATACATATATATATTTATATATATATATATAGATATAGATATATTGTATATTTATTAAATAGCTGCTATATAAATACTTTGTATTAATATTTTGTTTATATTAAAAGTAATTGTTTGTTTA